TCTCTCTCCTGTTTGTGAGCATGTTGGACAATGCTATGGTGTCATTACATAAATATTCTAAACATGCTTTGTTTGGATCATGTGACATACAAGTACTGAGCATAATGCCAACTGGATTTTCCAGTCAAGTCGACCATCCACAACCACCTTTCTGTTATATATATATATATATATATATATAAGCCCCAAATCTGCTTTTCATAAATGCTCATGATGCTGTGCCTGGATATTAGGGTAACAGGAACCAAAAAGAGTTGGAATGTGCTCAGAATAAAGTGTGTTTTAGCATTTAATTGAATGCTCCTAGGAGAAAACCACCTCAATCTGCCAGTCCAACACTTGGTATCATATCTGAAGCAATTCTTCCCACTGCCACTCTCTGTAGTCCAGTACCTAGTAATAGTAGCCCCAGTGATTAACATTTGATTGTGGCATTAAGGGACACAGGTACACCATGACATTTAGCTGTCTTGCCTTACAGCTGGTACCCTAGATACGGAGCAGCACTGTCCTGGCAGTGGGAGGTAGCCAAGGAGCAGGTACATTGGGAAAATGTCCAATGGGCAAAGTATCTTCTGTGCTGCCCTGGGCAGGCTGAGAGGTGAATTCCCAGACAGTTTGGAGAACAAGGACCAAAAGGATTAAAATTTCTTAATTTGTAGCTCCCTGTTACAGTTTTTAATTGGAATAAATGACATGAGTATCATCTTAAACTGTTTTTTATACTGAGTATAAAATATAAGCTCATGTCCTAAGCCAGCAGCACATTCTCTATGGAAACTTGGTTATGAGCATCAGTAGGAGGGCAAGTAAGGCTTCATGAGCTGGGTTTGCTGTCATCATGATGCATTAGGCTCTGACCCTGGAGGTCTGGAGCACAAAACTCCAGATGTCTTGAAGGATAGACTAGACAGATCCTTAGTCCTTTATCTGTACAAGATAAAGGAAGATCTTTGAGTTCTTAGATTATTTTTTCTGTACTTTGAGACATGGAATGAATCAGCAGTGTAGCAAGTGCCCGATTGACATCCAGAGTATGTGACAGTTTTGGAGGGGCAGGGGTTGTTTTTTTTTAAATCCCAGCTATTCCTGCTATTATCTGAATATGAGCTCAGATTTCCTTTAAAAAATCTAAAGTAAGTTTCTTTGACTCATTGGCTGGACAGAAAATGCTAAAAACCCCTAAATGCTCTATAAAAAGAATACACAGAGGAAACAGATACTATGGGTGGTAAAGAAAAAATAAAATGCTAGTTAAAAGCTTCAGGGCTGCACTATGCTACAGAATGACTCAAATGAGAAGCCCACAGGGGAAGTATCATGCAGCAGTTGAATTCAGTACATAGTGCACAACATGGGTGTGACATGTTTTTTGTGTCTATGTTGGTAACGGGGACAGGTGAAAGCCAAGTGCTCTTGTGAAATGAGGACAATATTACCTTTATTTCTCCTGTGTGGACTTGGGCTGCCCCCAGTCCCTCTTCCCTCTGTTTCCTGAGCTCTCGTGGTTCTCTGCTGCTCAGGCAGATTCTGAAACTTCAGCTCAGAATAAGTTACCACTTCCTCCTGTATCACTGGTGAGATAATGGGAACAGAGATTTTAGACTTGGCTTGCCAGGAACTCACAGAACACTGTAGCCATGAACAAGTTGCCTGTAATATATATACAAACACACAAATCAATTGGGTGCATACATACACACACACATTACCAACTCAGGCACACACACATCCAAACCAGCCTAGGCACATACATACCTATCACCAGTTCAAGCACATACACTATACATCCCAAAAGTTAGAAAAAAAATAATTTTCCATACCTGCACACTCAGTACACATATCACTAATTTGCATATCATGCGCACAGTGATATATATATATATATATATACACACACACACTCACCAGTTCACACACAGGTAAGTTCCTAACTTGGATGGTACAGTATGTATGTGTGTGCTTAGGGTACCTGGGATCCTTGGGGGAAGGCTCAGGTGAGAGAGAGAGTTCAAGTGTATGGAATGAAAGTTGCCAGAACTGGGATTAGAACTGGAGAGCTAGAGAGAAGCTGGCTAAGGAAGTGAGGCTTGAGGTTACTTAAAGTCAACTGGCCCCGAGGTTACTCGAGGTCACTGGTGCAAGGTGAAAAGCCTGGTGGCAAGTAAAAGACAGCCAGGAAAGAGAGAGAGACAGACAGAAACCTGGGAGCTTGGGGCTGGAAACTGAGGCAGACAGCTGAGATACTGGGGGGGGGAGATAAACAGTGGCAAGGAGGAAACAGTGAGGAAACAGACAAAAACCCAACTTGGGGTTTCAAATTAACAGGCTTATTAAACAGACAACACACTACACAGCCCCATGAAGTTACTGGTTCACACACAAGCACTCACAATGGCAGCAGGAGAAAGAGACTCAGTGGAAGGGCTGGAGTCTAGGTAAGGAAGAGAAACAGAGTCCAAGTCCTTGGTTTAAGAGGGGGTGGAGGTGATAGCTACCTATCCAGGGTGGAAAGGGGTCTTTGTCCAGCAGGTGTTGTCCAGAGGGGGGTCGCTGGCAGGGCCTCTGGGTGGATAGGTGGTGTGGCATAGTGCTTGTTCAGATGGAGAGCACGTCCCCAAGGAGTCAGTCTTCACTACCCTTTCTTATGGGGCAGACTACCTTTGATCTCCTACCGGAAGGGCCTGTCCAGGCAATGTCAGCCCTGTCCCAGAGGGCTCCAGGTGTTCTTACCAAGCATGTGCACCCTTGGCACAATGGTGGGTTGCCTCATTTTTGTTTCTTGAATGCTGAGGGTGGTTCCAAGGGCTGGGTCCTTGGTCCAGGTATTGGTGTTGATGGTTTGGTCATTCAGAGGGAGCTATTTTTAGACCTACTGCCATTGTCTCTTAAGCACCCTCATTCATCCACAATCATTCAGGAATCAAGTTACATAGGAGGGGTAGATATGAGTCATAGGTTACACAACCGGGCCTGAGGACAGGATAGAGACTTGACAAACAAAATGGAAACTTAACATGCCTTATGCTAACTTACCTATGTAGGCCTAAATCATATAACACCAGTAAAACAGTAATATAGAACAGTAAAAATCAATATAAACATAATAATTATACAACATAAAGGAGTAAAAGCAAAACAATCACAACTTGTTACCAAAATAAAATGCTGAAGCTTATCCTATGTCTTAGCTCACTTATACTTATCTACAGGGAATAGAGAGGGAGAGAAAAAGTCAGAAATGGTTGGGGAAGGGAATAAAAGAAAAGAAAAACTGAGGGTTTTCTACAGTCCTATGTGGTGCTTGGCAAGAATAGAAGTTGTCCTTTTTCTCAAATTTTAAACAACTAAAAATTGAGACATCTTAAGCAACCTGAAGAAGTGCCTTGGCCAAATGTCTCAGAGGGCTTCTCCTTTCTTGTAAGCAGGGTTTATTTGATGACAGTTAATGCTTATAAAAAAAAGATTTAGAGTTTCAACCTCAACAATCATTTTTGGAATTATATTTGATTCCATGCTGTACATTTCTTTCCGAGTTTCTTCCTTTTAAACCGATCAAATTTCACATCTGAGTAGGTTAGCGCATGCTCACTCATGTCCAGTACTAGGGAGAGAGAAATTATACCCTGGGTTTGAAAAGGCTGAATCAGTTGGGTGGTACTCACTGGGGAACTGATGGGCTTCTTAAAAATCCTGATCCTTGAAGTAACTCTAGGAGGAGCTGAGATTTCTAGTATGTTATACTCTGTAACCACTTTAGAAGATAAATCAACATTCAGAGAAGGTTATGTCTGCAAAGTCACTCAGAAGTTACAAGACAACAGACTTACTGTGGGCTTCACTACTAAATCAGCTCATCTCTTCTGTGTTAACATTAATTAGAGCAGCACATTGCTCGTTCCCATCAATCTCCAGGTTCATTCAGTGCACAACATGGATGGTGTTCACCACGTAACAATGTGTTCAGAAAGTTCTTTGCATATGTGAATGAGTCACCATGACATGTTATCATCATAGTTTAATGTGTATTACCTGTATTAATGACAGTTACTCAAAAATGTTCTCACCAAAAAAACCCTGAAGATTCTGTGACAAAGTGTGACTGTTTAGTGTCAATTTTGACAGAACAGCACTCCACCAAGGGGGGGAGGGCAAGGCATGGAGGCAGAGGTTTTGAGAGCACATACCTCATTTCCAGTCAATCTTGGAACCAAAAAGTACATTTCTCATGTTGAGATGTTATTTTGAAAACAAAACTGTCTGTTCCACAGTTCAACTCATGACTTCTTATATCAACCTACTCATTGCCTTTGAAAAGTGTTGCAACATACTAGGTGACTCTACATGTGCAATTAATGCAGCGTGATAAACTCATAGACAGTTCACGCCAGAGAACACTGCTCTTTAGCACAGCATTTACATGTGTGCCCAAAACTCCAGCACTTTGAGGCTGGGCAGAGTAATTCTGGGCTACTAGAGGGCACAGCAGGTCAGCCCCAAGCTCTGGTTGGCTGTGTTGGGTGGCGTCAGGCCTGGCTGGGGCATGAGGGTGCTACAATGTGGGGATAGGCAGCATGCGGTCCCTGCATTTTAGCACCTTTTGCCCATCCTGTCCCTGTCACTGTCCACACATGCATTTCAGTGCAGTTATTAATTTACTGTGCCCTAATACTGGCACACATGTTGACTGTGACGCTTTACAGTGGAGCTAATTAGTCAAAACTGCGGTAACATGCACATGTAGATGCACCCACTGCTATTGCTGGATCCAATATAAAGACCCTAGAACTGATCATTGTGCTTCACTGGCCTTCAAGGCTAAAGTCATTACTCATGGTTTGAGCCAAATATGGCACCCTATCCTATAGCTATAATGCCAGGGAGACTATGGAGGACCAGTGTAATTCAACTAATTGTACTAGAGCTCTACCAGTTAAGAGGGAGAAATCACTGTGGCAGCATACAGGGAGAACGTGCTTGTCTGAGGTTGGTCCAGCTGGTCAGGGATGGGGCTCCTTCACACAAACAGGCCGGACCCTCTGCTGATGGCCGTCAGCATCATTCCACTGGAGCCCAAGGAGCTCTGACACCAGCACGAGGTCTGGCCCATTGTGCTTTAAGGAGAGTGAAAGAATCTGAGCCTTTTCGCCCTCTTTGGGGCAATGAACTCCTTTCAGATCATAAGCGTCTCCCCTCTCCCATTCTGCATCATGTCCTTGTGAGAGGGCACCACAACCCAACCTGGCCTAAGTCTATACTGTGGTCTGTGATGTCTCATCCTTGCAAGAAGATGACCATTAGCTTCTACCCAGTGAGAACTGCCTCCATCTCAGTCCAGCTCCATGCTTCCTCCATCCTGCGCCTGACAAACATTTCCTCACCCATGGCCTTCCCATCCATGAACTCATTGCAAACACATTGACAAGCAGTTTCTCTTGGTTTTCCCAAATCACCCAGTTCTCCTCCTTCAGCAGCGCAGTCTAAACCAGAAGGTATAACAGGATCAGTCACCTTCTGAAGGAAACAACCCACACCTCAAGCCCCCACTAGTCCTCCCATACAAAGAATCCAAGCCCCGTACCTTTTCTTTCTCTTCAGAGTTCACAAGCAGAGGATGGTGGGCTGTTGAACACAAGAAGGTGCATTTGCCCTGCTCCCATTGTTTGAGTCCCTGTAAGAGGAAAGAGCACAGCGATGATTGGCTGGATGCGGCTCCACCTGTGAGCCCAAAGGAAACGCTGTGTCTGCTCATCTGAAATGTTCTCCCTCCCTAACAGTGTTACAGAGCAGGGCTTTTATCTTTACAGTATCAGAAAGTTTCCATCCTGAAGTGCTCACTGCAAAGCCCCTGTGGGGATGCTGAGATACTGAGCCTCTGCACAGCACAGCCACTGTCCCCATCCAGGGTATCCCAGAGCCTCTTAAAGGAACAGTTCCCTGCATACCGTGTTGTAAAGTAAACAACTACTGCTGTCTTCACATGGAGCAGTTCTCCACCGATCTCCTTTCAGAAAAAGCTGAAAAGTCAGGAACAGCAGCCAACCTATGGTTTTTATCTGCCAAGTGACAGGTTTTCCAACACACTCTATACAGCATTTGTAGTGCTCATTTTTTAAGACACCAGCAGAGTCCAGCCATACTCGAGTCTCCCTTCGAGCCCAAGCTCCTGCAGTTGTGGAAGTGGGTAAGAGGATCAGTCGTCCCTCAGCAGAATATGCATCTTGACACTGGGAGGCGTACATGTGAGTTATCTTGATCCAGAAGGCACCAAAACAAAAGACACATCAGACTCACCCTTCTGGTGTGTTTACATCTCATGGCTTTTAACCCAGTCTGGCTGCTCTCAACAGGTGCAGTATACAGCCGTGACAGCCTGCATACACCTTCTGTATATGCATGTCCCTACAAGGGAATGTCTTCTTCAGATACAACTACCTCCCCTCCTCACCGTCTAGCACTCCCTTGGAAGGCTCTTGTCTGGTTCTCAAGTGCTATGACTTCTCTGAAGCCTGATATAGCTCAGCACCCTCAGCCACCAAAGCCCCTGAGCCCCTGTCTCCATCCACTACATCCATCTGTCCTGGGTTGTGACCTCTGTGGCCCCTGCCCAGTGACCACAAGGTCAGCGCAGGCTAATATAGCTCTAACCGAATACAATGGCTGCTACTGCAGGTAATGAGCTGAACTAGGCCACACACGTCCAGCTACCAGGTATGGCTCAATGCAGGAGCTCTAGCCACAGCCCCTCAGCCCTCACAAAGCACCTACAGCATGATCCATCCTGGCGTCCATCCTACCTGTGGGGGTCCCTGCCCCTGGTCACCCTGGGTCGGGGCATTGTGACTCAGTGGTTAAAGCCATCTCCCAGGTGCCATTATGACATCAGAGCTGCTCTCAGCCAATTTCAGCTGCCCGCTCCTGGTCATTTGCATTCGGAGATCTCAACAGTCTCTCCCAGGGGAAGTCAGGCAAAGGTACCACATGCTTTGCTGGTGAGCAGTGCAGGTTTGCAGGGCTGGATACCTCAGGTGTTAAATGTTTTGAGATTTGCATGAAAATGATGAGATTTCAGACCAACAGGCAGTTTGATTTTCTGGCCAGTACTAAAGGCCCCAGGGTCAGGAACTAAACTTTCTTTCACAAACCCAAAAATACTTGTTATTCCTTGTGGGGGGCTGAGTTTCTGACCTAGGTCATCAGTGCTGGGAGTTGGGGCTTGCTCCAGGTCCAGCCACACATGGACACTCGGGGTGGAGGATCCTCACCCTCCTAGTTCTTTTCCCCAGCTTTTGAGGCCTGGGCAGCATTTGCCCTTCCTTCATGCAGAGTCAGGGCTAACAAATGGGCAGTGGTGCAGAGGCAGCTGAACCTGGGACTGATGTGGTACTGATGCCCATTACTGGAAGATAACACCCCAAACCATGGGGCTCCCAGGCACGGATTAAGCCCCAGGTGATCCCAAACCCCTGCTGCCATTATCCATTTGAACTGTACCTCCTGCAGGGATCATCCTTCAGCTCTAAGCAGGAAAGGCTCCACAGAGCCTATTGCTGGACTGAAGCCAAGCTCTGCTGCTGCCAATGCCAAGATTCCTCCAGGTTCCCTAAAGCTGGGCCCTACCCTGACCCCACCACAGCAAACCTCTGTAGCAGCTGGCTCACACAGTGTGTGAGCTGAGGCCCAAGTTCCCTTCTCTTACAGCAGCTAGGGGCAGATATTTGCCCTTGTACTCAGCCAGTAAAACACAGACCAGCTTCCGTACTTGTACAAATCATGGCACAACCAGAGAGCCAGTGGGCCATGGCCTGCTTCTTAATTCTGCTCTGCACTCACAGATGAGGGTAGGAGCTGGCACACACACGGGTCTGGTTGGAACTGGCAGCTGAGGCTTCTCTGATGATGAGAAACCCCAAGAAGCAGGAAGCCAGCACAGTCAGCCTCTGCAGGAAATGTTCCTCACCTACTGCAACACTGGGCATGTCAAGAGCAGGGAGATTTCATTTTGATCCCTCCTGCAAAACTTTTTTTTCTGCAGCTGCCCCTATGGTGCTCTGCATGGGACTAAGTCCCAACTGCTCCCACCAGAGCAGTGCATCAGGGCAGAGGTAGGAGGAGGAGCTGCCACTGGAGGCAAGAGGAGCAGAACAGCCCTGTTGGCCCAGGCCCCAGCCAGCATGCACAGCTTTCAGTGGGGTGTTCCTGGTGTGGCTAAAGCTGAGCAGGTGCTCTTCATCCCCACCTACTCCACCAGTGGCTTCTCCTTCACTGCTGCCCCTGCTGCTTTGCTCCAGTAGCTCCTGTGTGCGTTGGTCAAGACCTGGGATGGTGGGCAGACGTGCAGCATAAGCTGCCCTGGTGGGAGTGGGTGGGACTCAGCCACACGTAGGGGCAGCCGCAGGCTGAATCCAGCCAGTTGGCTGGCCAGAATTTGTCCATCTACCCATAAAGTTAATTCTTTCTTTAATTAAGAGTAACTAATCCAGATGTTTTGCATAAGTATCTAGAATTCAACAGCGAATAGCAACTTGGGTAGCAGCAAACATGAGATTATTGAGTTCAGGATCCTGAGTAAAGGAAGGAACAGGTGAGGGGCTATTTAGAAAAGCTGGCTATGTAAAAGCCCATTGGGTTGGATACGATGTGCATGAAGGTGCTGGCAGAATTGACTGGTGTGATTGCAGAGCTGCTGGCCATTGTCTTTGAAAACACATAGCACTTGAGAGGGGTGCTGAAAAACTGGAAAAGGGAAAACACAGTGCCCATCTTTAAGAAAGACAAGGAGGCTTTGGGGAACTCGAAACCAATCAGCCTCAATTCACTCCCTGGAAAAATGATGGAGCAGGTCCTCAAGGAATGCATTCCTAAGCAGCTGGAGGAGAAGGTGACTATCAACAGTCAGCATGAATTCAACAAGGGCAAGTCATGACTAACTGATCTGGCTGCCTTCTCTGACAAGAAGACTGACTCTGTGCATGTTGGGAAACCAGTGGATGTGATATACCTTGACTTTAGCAAGGCTTTTGGTATGGTCTCCCATAACACACTTGCAGACAAGTGAAGGAAGTATGGGTTGGATAAATGAACAGTAAGATGGATACAAAACTGACGTCATTATTGTCAAAGACCTTGCACAGTTGTCACAAGCATGGGCAGCTATGTGACAGACCTGAGGGAGCAGGGGAGGGTCACCCAACCTCCTTATTCGGCTGGTGTGACGTAAGAAAGCAGGGATTTACGTTTATATTTCCAAGCAGAAGCTGCAAGGGGCATGAGACTGGAATACCTTAGAAGAGATGGAGTTTGAGAAACTGAATGCATGAGAGTCAGGAGGAGTATGCAATATGTGAAGGGCACAAACAGCATGTTATGGTCAAGGCACCCAAGACTGAAAGAAGATGTAGATTCACCTATAAAAAACAAGGCAAAGATAAGGCCTGTGGGATCTCCTCTTCATCACCTAAGAAGATCTGTGGATCCCCCCAGACAATCTTTCTGAAAACCTGGCTGGAAAGAGACACAGCATAGATTCAAGAAGGGCAAGTCATGCCTGACTGACCTGACTGCCTTCTCTGACAAGAACACTGATTCTATACATGTTGAGAGACAAATGGAAGTGATATACCTTGATTTTAGCAAGGCTTTTGGTATGGGCAACCAACATGGGTTTATTAGAGGCAGGTCCTGTCAGACCAACCTGGTGGCCTTCTACGACCAGGTCACAAAATCCTTGGACGCAGGCCTTAGCCTTCCTAACAGTCCCCCTACAGTCTTGAGCAATGGAGGTATCATCCTCCCTGGTGATGGCCCCTCCCTTCCATTGGGTATATGCCTCCTTTTTAGCTTTGAGATGTTCCTGGATGCTTTTGGTGAGCCATGGGGGCTTTTGAGCACTCTTGCCTGCTTTGATCCGCATTGGGATTGTCACCCTTTAGGCTTGGAGGATCATCTCCTTTAGGAATGACCACTCTTCCTGGACTCCCAACTCCCCTCCCCTCTGGGACCTCAGTGCCTCCCCGAGTAGTCTCCTTACCTCATTGAAATCCACCCTCCTGAAATCTAGGTCTGTTGACTTGCTGCAGGCCTTTGACACCCTGCACTGGATAGTGAATTCCATCAGGCAATGATTGCTATCGCCCAGGGGGTCAAGAACCCACAGTCCACTCACCAGGTCATCGCCCATGGCCAGGACCAGGTCCAACATGGCATTTTCCCTGGTGGGACTGTGCACCTCCTGGGTTAGATGGAGGTCCTGTAACTTAGCTAGGAACCTACGTGAGCAGTCAGACCTGGCTGACTGCTCCTCCCAGCAGATGTCCGGATAGTTTAGGTCATCCATGATGATCAGGTCCCTTGACTTAACCGCCTCTGCAAACTGAACTGAGTCCAGGTCCAGGTCTTCCCCCTGGTTGAGTGGCCTGTAGTAAACCCCCACCATTAAGTCCCTTTCCCCATGACCCCCTTGTATTTGGAGCCAGAGCACTTCAGTCTGCCCCTGCACTGACCCAGTTCTGAAAGCCCAGGGTGGCCAGCATGGGGACTAAATGTACTCATTCCTGTTCATGTGCCTGGGTCCAGGCTTTTGACTTAACGTTCGCAGGGCCACGCCACCAGCTCCGTGCAGCATCACCAGCAATGGAGCCAGCAGTGTTCTGGGTATTGAGCCGTCCCCTTGGACACTGTGGGGAGGGACAGTGTGAAACTGGTATCCAACCCCATCATAGCAGGGACAGACTCCCCTGCTTGTATCCCACATGCAGGGATCACCGAAAACTCCCTCTGCCCCACTGAGTTTCTGCACAGCACATGCAATGAGAGATGCCTCCTGCCCAAGAGACTTGATCACTGCTACTTCCTTACTAACATGCTCTTCCCCAGGCCCAAGGAGGAGACCAGGATGACATAGGCTAGAGGCCACTACTGGCAGCAACTTCCCCAATCTCCTTTCCAATGGCACTCCTAGCCTGTGCACATCCCACAGGTCCCCTTGGAGCATGTACCATTTCCTTTTCCCATCAGACCCACCAAAGTGTGCACACTCATGCCTAAGCACCTCACCCCCATTACTCATATAGAAGAACAAGCAGTGGTAGGAGATGGTTTATTTTCAGATCCAAGGTGAAATTCCCATAACAAATAGAAGACACGGAGTCTCCCCAGGGGAGCTCTGGAAAACCCAGCCTTCAGGGCTCCTGCAGTTCAGCAAGACCAGACTCTTCCTTGTATACAACAGGAGGCATCTGCATCCAGGAGGTTGTGGCTTTGTTTTTGGTCTCTGATTTCCATGAGCTTTTGATTTCCTGCTATAGCCACACACAACACCATTGCCTCTTGGGAACTATCTCTTTGCCTGAGTGGTTGTGAATGTACTACACACCCATCAGAAAGCCTAGAAAATAAGATGCAGGATGTGGAAGAAACAAGAGCATCCTATCCCTGCTGGCTTCAGTAGAAGGCAGCTATGCTGTGGGGGACAGAGATTCCTGTCAAATGACACATGTGTCCAATGAAATAGGAAGCATTAAAAATTGACGTTTCTATACATCTATGTAGCATTCAAAAGTGTAGCAGGCTGGCAGTCCCACAACTCTGGGATGTAGTTTAAAAGGTCTCTGCTGCTCTCCCTGTAATCGGCAGCTCAAGAATCCAGGCTTTTTGCTGGTAGATCCATTTCATTTCTACAGTTCCACACTCCCTGCTCTGCTACAGCCATCTCCCTCATCAGTCCCTTCTGTGCCACCTATCTTCTGGGTCGATGCATTTAATTTTTTCCTTTTGGTTCCATCATCTTCTCACAAATGCAGAATCGAGTTTCTTTACACCTGCCTGTCCTAGCAGTCCCACCCTGGACATATGCACAAGCGTCATCTGAGTAACTTGCATGTCTTGGGTCCGGGAGCTGAATCCTGGAATGTAAAGTCACAATTTACAGTTCAGGTCCATCCACCTCAGCTCTGCATGAGGACACATGGTCAGGAGTTAACTGCACTGGTTGCACTGACAGCAGGGGACACTGAGGCAACAGTCCAGAAGGAAGGGCAGAGATGCTCAAGGCTAAATGTGTCAGAGGAGAATTTCTCAGGGCAAGATCCCTACACCCTCACAGCACATAGTACAAAGCAGAACAAACATGTGTATGAACCAAATTCACTTGAGAAAAACTTTGACTCCCCAGAAATTTCTCCTGCAATCAAATCTGTAGAATGGAAATTTCTGTCCTTCCTTTCTGTCACAGAGCACTGAGGTGCCCTGCTCCTAAAGAGGGGAAAATGCTAGGGAGGAAGCCCTAGCAGGGAATAAGGAGCCCAGCTGTTGGTTGCCAAGGTAACCAGGGGAGGTCAGCTGACCAGAAGCGGTAGGGCCTGGCTCCCTTATAAAACCTAGGGACTGGGGCTAGAGGCAGTTCCCTGCCAGCAGGCAAGGAGGAAGGAGCTCTCTCTCTGGGAAGAGAGGAGCAGCCTGACTGAAGTCACAGCACCTGACATGGCTGAGGGATGGAGTATTCCCTGGTAGGCTAGAGTGTTATTATGGCCGGGTGGCTTCCATTTTGTGTTATAACCAAGGGGCTTGCGTTTGTGTTGCTGTTTTATAACCGGTGGTTTGGGTGAGGCTATTAGGGGTTGGAGGAGGACTCACAGGGGACTCAGAGTAGTATGGGGACCCCAGCGACAGTGAGAGTGAAGCATTCAGGGTGCACAGACCCCAGCCCCAGAGAGGGGCAGTTGAGAAGCCCCAGTGCGGGTGTGGTGAGCCCCAGAAAAGCGGGCAGCGTAGTGGCGAGCCGAGACAGGGCGGCATTATTGAGACGGCCCGGAGACAGGGAGGCATTATTGAGAAGGCCCTGGAGAGAAGGGCAGCATTGCGGTGAGACCCGGTGGGGGGCAACATTGGGGAGACGGGCCAGAGAAGAGGACACAAAGTGAGATAGGGCCAGGGAGAGCCCTAGTGCCAGGGAGGGCGCAGATCAAGAGAGGTCGGGCCCCGAGAAGACAAGGGGCCAGATTATAATACAGATAGGACATAACAACGTCTATTAGATTGGTGAGGTGTGGACTGCGGTGTAGGAGAGGAAATGGAGATGAAAATAGCACCCCCTGGCATCGGGGCAGTATAAGGGCAGCCTCCCGCCAATTAACTTCAATTAACCAATTAACAGCAAGGCGTGGCAAGCAAGAAGGTGGGCGGTTGCCCCAGGAACAGGTGTGCTGGCCACGTTTTGATTGGCCCAGTGCGGATACCTGTCACACTTTCCTACAACTAAATGTGGCTCCCAGAGATGTCTCCATTCCCCACAGTCCCATATACATACCATAAGCACAGAAACTATCCATGAGATAAATTCCTGTATCACATAGCTCGTCCATGTATCCTACACTTAAAATCCACCAGCCTTCCCCCTTCCCACTAACCCATTTCCTAGGCCTCCATGGGTTCAAATCTGCCAACCCTTCAGAGATCTCAAATGACTGCCCTTTGTTGCAATAAGTTAGTCTGCAAAATCCATGGGAATGGCCCTTACCATGGACAGTTTTAGGGAGAGAAAATGATTTCAGGACAGTGAGTGGCTGTCATGACTCTGTTCTACCCTGTGCAGTTGGACTCATTAGCTAAGGCAGTCACCAGGCTTTACACAGATACAGTCACTAGTCCATGTAAATTGTTGAAGATGTCCTATCACATTCCCTTTACTACACAACGGTGATGTAAGTTGGGGTGGGGGACTGAAGCACCAGCCCTGGAAGCCAAGTGAGGAGGGGAATCAGTATCATCCCACACTGCAGTGGCAGCAGTAGTGGGCAGAGACATTTTTGGAGTCTGTGCCATGAGTAGGCTGCGAGCACCTTCCCCACACTCTCCCATAAAGGTACCCCAGGGCACAAATCCTGCTTGTTTTGTCTCTAGCACAAGCAGGCAGGCAGTCCCATGATGAATCACACCCAGGTGATAGTGCTGTACTTTGGTGCAGAGCTGTGGCACCCTAGTAACATAGACTTACATGCCAGAGGAGAGAGTTGTGCCATCCTCCCAGAACCATTTCCCTCTTACAGAGTCATACACCAATCCAGTCCAGAATGGGAAGTAGTATGTAATGCTTCCACGATCTTCAGAATAGTGAAATGACTCTGTCATTATGAAATCCTGCATGAGAACAGGATTAAATGAAAAAAAAGATGAGAAATCTTATGCACATGGAGAGCACCAGCAGGTTGCCAGGAGTTCCACACTTAGTATCGCTGCAGACCTCTGTATAGAGATTATCTCTGTAGATAATCTCAGTATCCTGCACATGTCTAAGGACCCATGCCAATATGGCCAGATGTGATCTAAAAAAAAATCTGCAGGCAACATTGTAGTATCCATCACACACACAGAGATAAACAGAAGCACACAGGACACAGGAACACCATTAAGCATGCGCACGTACAAAGCGCCCACTGATTCCTACCCCTCTGCAGACCTAATGAGAGACCTGCAGTGTGTTTTACTCATTCACATCCCCCTAGCACTCAGGACACCACTCCTGGAATTACCTAGTCAATGCTTGGCTAAAGAAAGCCCAGTCCCAGGGCATGACTACTTTCAGACTGAACTCACTCACCTGATTTGTACTGATATGTCAAAGGTAACACACACTCACCCAGTCTTCTCTGCTCTCCATCATGATCAGGCTTGCAGAGTGAGAACTGCAGGAGTATTTACACTGATCCCAAGGTCTCTTTTCAGGAGAAAAAAGGTAGGACCTACTTGTACTGTGACTCCACCGCGCTGGACACTTCTCCCCTGGAATAACACAAACCACATCAGCTCACCACACTCTCGTATCACTCTTGTGCTGGGACGTTGCCATCAAGAACAAGGGATGCTGTGTGTCCCAAGGCAGTAGAGATAGCATCTTCCACTCCCTGCCAGTAGAACTATGGCAGCATTCACAAGGATATCTCTCAATCAATGCCAATACAATTTTGGGAGCAGAAACAGCACGGCCATACAAGCACACTCTTACATATATGGTTCCACCAGTCCTGCAGCAACACTTGCTTCCACCCCATGATTTACCTATATCATGGGGAAGCTCCTGTACACTTCCTGGAACTCCTTGGTTTTGACAGGATGTCAGCTCAGATGAGAGGTATCCCACCTGCTCATGGAAGCTGTTCCGCTCAATGCCCAGCTGAACCACTGCAACAACATAAAAAATCCAGCATTGCCTTTTATATTAGGAGCTGCCACAGAGTTGCACAGAGTTTAGGTTCTCTGTTAAATGGTGATCCAAAAGCATTTTTCTCTTGCAGAAAAAGATGATTTCTTAATGGCAAGCCCCTGTGCAGCAACATGTCAATTTTGACTACAGGTGCAATTAGAGTTAGGCAGTTCTCAAATGGAAACTGGTCTGAAAACTGGCTTTTACATCTTACCATCATCATTGTTAAAGAAAACAATGCTTTGGGTCTGTGCTAAACACCATAACTGTGGATGCCATGTCTCTGCACACCAGCATCTTCATTAGGATGGATTACAACAGATAAAGAGCATTATTCCCCATCACAAAACTGCTTTTGTTTCCATGACACTCCCTGCTCTGTCCTCACACATAACTGTTTGTAGTTTGTGGACTGCCTACCTACAAAGGAAAGACATTCCCATGGGAACACATATGGTCCTCCCAATATGTCAACATGTTTAAATCAAATGTTGAAGTCCATGTGCTCCACACCTGCACTCTCAGCTCCCTGGTATATCTCAGATACAATAGTGATCTTTTCACAATATGGAATTTCTAAAGAAGATCTCTGTATTGTGGTGACACAAAGCCCCAGTTACACTGATACAATTTACAGTTACAGCAGTTAGAAACTTCCTGTGGGGACATTTTTTCCTATTGGAAAAAAAAGTTGCGTTTTCACAAGTGAGCACAAACCGTTCCATTGGGATGAAACTACTTATGGAACTCAGGGCAGTTTGCAATGGAAACCTCCCAGGTGCCCTTCCAACTCATCGACCCACCTGCTTCTCAGGTGCTCCGCATGGAGAACTAGCAAATATGGAGGTCTAAGGGGTCGCCCAGGCTTCCAGCCACCACCGGGGTGGTGACTCCTTCCATGCCCACTTTGTGGAAATAGTGCAGTCAGGGCTGTGAAGGTTTCCAGGCTCTTTCATGGCACCTTTAGGGGCTTGCCATGGACCTGGGGCTCCCAGAATTTCCAGACATTAAAATAAGATGCTGATGAACCCCATTCTGTAAGAAATATCCAGGTTTTCACTTTTCTTCCCCTGATTTGGTTTGAAAATACTTCCAATGCCACAGTTCAATGACCATGGTCTTTTTGTGCAGGAGTCAAATTTAGTCCTTGGCAAGCTCTAGTAGCATAAAAAAAAAAGATAGTCAGGTGTACAGGAAGCCACACACATTGCACAGTGGATGGATGCCCCAGTGATCTTAAAAGCCAGAACTGAACTCATGTACCCGGTGCTACACTTTGCTTAATACTGCACATCGCCCACAGAGACATCTAATATTTGAGTGGCATACTGCAAGTATTGCCATATATTAGCCTCTTCCTAGAGCCATTAGAAAACACTGCCTGCCCTCAAAAAACTTTGCAATGACTCCTATCAGATCCATAGTGATTCCTTTTCTATGAACTTACCATTGTAACCCAAAACTCCTGTTGCTATCAATAAAATCAGGCAGAGAATCCCAAGAACAAGGGTGGCAAGCTGCCGTTGAAGAGGTGTAGCTGAAGGATCTGGTGAAGAAATACAAATAATGCAAGTATTGACATCAGTCAAACACAGAATGCCCCACATCAACCTTGAAATAACTTGGCAAGGGAAAGAAGGAAGAGGCTTGTGTGGGCATCTTTAAACATGTCTCCTAGAAACAGCTGCACTTGCTAAAAACAGTGGCAGGGGAAAGAGCAGTATGTGAAAGGAAATGACCATTGGTGCTCCAAGCTGGACCAGGTCCTGGGAAAGTGTCTTCAAAATAAGAGTTCTTTTACAAAAAAATTTTCGAAGCAAGTCTCGTGTGTGCAGTCATGGAAACACATGATGCAAAAGCAGCAGCAGATGAACTAATGATTGGCACAGCAATCCCAGGCAATGCTAGGAGGAAAAGAATGTATCAGGGAATTGCTCAGGAGCTGTGCCTGATTATGTGTCTCGCCCAGTTTGTGAGCATGCTGGACAATCATGGAATAGGGTGTCATCACTATTCCATACCATTTCCGGACCTGGAATGAATAACTCTTCATTTGCAGGGCAGTTAGGCTGCCATAAATGTTCTAAACATGCTGTGTTCAGATCAGGTGATATGCAAATAACAAGCACAATGTTAACTGGATTTTACAGTCAAGTCGATCATCCACATCTTGCTTTCCATTATATATCTATATACCAAATTTGGGGCATATATATGCACACACTAGATAGATAGATAGATAGATAGATAGAAGTTGAAATGTGCTAAAATAAAGTGTGTTTTAGCATGTAATTGAATGCTTCTGGGAGAAAACTCCGCCCCACTCTGCCAGTCCAACACTTGGTATCGTATCTGAAGAAATTCTTCCCACTGCCACTCTCTGTAGTCAAGTATATAGTAATGGTAGCCCCAGTGATTAATATTTGATTGTGGCATTAGGGGGCACAGGCAGACCATGGGATTTAGCTGCCTTGTCTTATAGCAGGTACCCTAGGTACAGGCAGCACTGCCCTGGCAGTGGGAGGTAGCCAAGGATCAGGTAAGTATCTTCTGTGACTCTCTGTGGCAGGCAAGGGGTGCTTTTCCAGCCAGTTTGGAGATCATGGACCAAAAGGATTAAAATGTGTTAATTTGTTCTCTCCTGTTACAGTTTTTAATTGGAATAAATGATGTGAGTATAATCTTAAACCGTATGTATGTTTGTTATACTGAGTATAAAATTTAGGGTCATGTCCTAAGCCAGCAGCACATTCACTATGGAAACTTTCTTATGAGTATGGCTCGGAGGGCAAGTAAGTCCTCATGAGCCAGATTTGCCTTCATCGTGATGCATTAGTGCCTGGAGGTCTGGAGCACAAAACTCCAAATGTTTTGAAGGATAGACTAGACAGCAACTTAGGCCTTTACCTTTATGAAATGAAGAAAGATGTTTCTGAATTCTTACATTATTTTTCCCTACTTTGAGATATGGATTTAATCAGCGGTGTAGCTAATTTGTGATTTACTTCCAGAGTGTGTGACAATTTGCAGGGGGGGTGGGGGGTTGTTTTTCAGGTCCCAGCTATTCCTATCAGGCTAGTATCTGAGAATAAGTTCATTTCCCTTTAAAATGTAAAGTAAGTTTCTTTGACTCATTGTTTGGACAGAAAAGCTAAACCCAAAAAAAACTCTGAAAGGAGTATAAAAAGAATACACTTAGGAAACAAATATTATGGATGGTAACAGAACAACAAAATGTTGGTTACAAGTTTCAGGACTTCACTGTGCGACAGGATGACTCAAGTGAGAAGTGCCACGGGGGAAGTATCATGCAGTAGTTGGAATGAGTACATACTGCACAACCTGAGTGTGACATGTTTTGCTGTGTATGTGGTGATAAAAGGGCCATGTGAAAGCCAAGTGCTTTTGTGAAACCAGGACAATATTACCTTTATTTCTCCTCCGTGGGCTTGGGCTGCCCCAAGGCCCTCTGCGCTCTGTCTGCTGAGCTCTTGTGCTTCTCTGCTGCTCAGGCAGGTTCTGAAACTTCAGCTCAGAATAAGCTGTCATTTCCTTCTGTATCACTGGTGAGATAATGGGAACAGAGACTAAATGTTTGGCTTTTCAAGGGCTCACAGAACAGTGTGGCCATGAACAAGATGCCTGTAATAGCAGTGTCTCTGGTTGTCTATTATCCCATGAGGGAAGACAAGATTTAGGAAAGTATTTCACAACGCAGACAGGAAACAGCTGTCACAGCTCAGGTAGATGCAGGAGCTAAAGCCAAAGCCCCGCTCTCCCCCCCAGAAATATTTCATCTCAGGTGGCGGGAAATGGAAGAGAATTCAGGGCCAAATGAAGATAAAGTCCCAATGAATGGGTGATTGGCAATGGAATATATAAAGATGCTGTGAGCTCACTTGGTTTTGTGATCATTTGTAAAGAATATGAATGAGTAATTGAACACTCAGTAAACACTACTCAAGCAAATTAATGGCTTGGATATTTGCTACTGATAATGCCTTTTACCAGCTGAATGGAAAGATCCAGTACTATACAGCTTTAAGTCTGTCTAAGCAGTATATACAATGGTAACCCCAGCCATCATTCTATACAGGAAAATGCTCTTAGTACTGAGGTGCTAGATTAGGCAGGAGGTAACCCACTCATTGATTTTCAAATCCAGACTGGGCTTGTCCAAAAGTGATGGAGGCTTTTTCCTGGGGAAACAAAGTCATTAAGGCCCAGACTCTCACCTGTTCATATGCAAGAGCAGGAGTTAAGGGATAATGAGGGCACCAGAGCTGCACACTACCTTGGGTCCTATGTAGTGCTTGGCAAGATTAGAAGCTGTCCCTGTACTTGCGCTACTCAGGATGCCTGGTGCATTAACAGGAGATGCTTGGATGAGGTGTCCCTTGAGGTTCCTGCCTGCCCAGTGACTCTATGGCACTCTTAGACCAGCGCCTGACAATATAATTCAGACACTAACTATAAACCCTTAGAAATTACTAGTGAAAAGACTTTGAAGAGAATACCCAAATCAGGCAAGGGTTGTCAGTAAGCACACAATGCTATCAGTCACCTCTTTCAATTATCAGAGCCAAATTCCTGCAAGCAATTTTATCAGAAGCAGAGAGCAGCCTGTAGTGAGCTCTAGAAGGGTTGTTTTGCTTTAAAACCTGCTACTTTCTTCAGAAGATGACATAGGTGCCAATACAAGAAACGTGGAAAAGATACACGACTAAAATCCTCAGAAATATGAATTCTGAATAATGGCTAGAAGCCAAAGGAACCACCATTTTACATTCATCATTGTGGAGCTATTTTTAATGGGAAAAGTGGCTGATGTAATATTTAAAGAAAACAACACAAACGAGTTCACGCCTTATAAGGACAGGAATGCTGGGTTGCATGCAAGCGGCCTTCCTGGGTCTGAAAGCAAGCAAAGAGAAGAATGCAGAGGTAAGCAACAGGAGTTTCAATTGTGGAACAGCTAAAAATTGAGACATCTCAAGCAACCTGAAGAAGGGCCTTGGCCAAATGTCTCAGAGGGCTTCTCCTTTCTTGTAAGCAGGCTTTTTTTGATGACAGTTAATACTTCTGTAAATGATTTTGAGTTTCTACCTCAACAATGCTGTCATTTTTTCAATTATATTTGATTCCATGCTCTACCTTTGTTTCCAGGTTTCTTCTTTTTAGACCGATCAAATTTCACATCTGAGTAGGTTAGCACATGCTCACTCATGTCGAGGTCTAGAGAGAGAGAAATTATACCGCGGGTTTGAGAAGGCTGAATCAACTGGGTGCTACTTACTGGGGAACTGATGGACTTCCTAAACAGCCTGATCCTTTGAGTTAACTCTAGGAGGGGCTGTGCTTTCTAGCATGTTATACTCTGCAACCACATTAAAAGAAAAATCAATATTCAGAGAAGGTAATGTTTGCAAACCCGCTGAAAAGTTACAAGACACCAGGCTTACTGTGGCCTACACTACTAAATCAGCTCAGCTCTTCTGTGCTATCATTAATTAAAGCAGCACATACTTTCCTCTTGCCCATCACAGTCTCCAGGTTCATTCAGTGCACAGCATGGATGGTGTTCACCAAGTAACAATGTGTTCAAGAAGTTCTTTCATACGTGAATGAGTCACTATGACATGTTGTCGTCATAGTTTAATGTGTGGCCCCTAACTTCTACACACTACTGAAATCCTGTCTGGAGTATAGATTTAATGGTTTCCTCGTGGGCTGTTCCATTTTTTTTCTGATAACAGTACCTTAGGCCAGGTCCAAAAGGCTATTTTGATTAACTCTATAAATTACAGTGGGAGCGGGGGCAGAGGGCTGTGGGTCAGGAGCGAAGGGCACTGGCAGGGCTGGGAGGGCAGGGGCCTGTGTGTCAATAGTGTGGGGTGGGCACTGGCAGGGCTGGTGGGGAAAGAGGCTGTGGGTCAGGAGCTGGGGGCACCAGCAGGGCTGTGGGGGGCAGGGGGCTGTTTGTCCCTCTGCCTGCTTTGTTGGGAAGGAGCAAAAATGCATTCCTGTGGGTGGGATTGGGGATGGTGGGGAGGGAAAGAAAAACCCTCAGCTTCTCTTGCTCCCAGGAGAACAAAGAGACAGAGCTTGGCCTGAGAAGGTGTTAATTTCCCTCTTTGAAATGTAAAAAACTTTCCACAAAAAGGAAAATAAAGCCAGGGCTAGGGAGGGGCAGGGGAGGGACTACTGAGAACACACACGTTATTTCCAATCAATCTTTGGAAGCAAAAAGCACATTTCACATGTTGAAGTGTTGTTTTGAAAGAAAAACTCTCTTCCACAGTTCAACTCATGCTTTTCATATCAGCCTACTCATTACCTTCAAGAAGTGTTGCAAGATACTGGGTGCCTCTACATGTGCAATTAATGTGATGTGGTAAACTCTGAGGCACCTCACACCTCAGAAAACTGCTCTCTGGCACACTGTTTACATGTGTGTCAAGCACTGCAGCACTCTGAGGCTGGGCAGACTAAAAAACTGGGCTACTAGAGGACACAGGACCTGGGCTCTGGGTGGCAATCCTGGGCAGTGTCAATGCTGGTTGGGACACGAGGGTGCTACAGTGCAGGGATAGGCAGCATGCAGCCCCTGCATTTTAGTACCTTGTGCCCCAGCAACTCCGTTACCATCTACAGGTGCATTTCAGTGGCGTTATTAATTTACTATGCCCTCAAACCAGCACACGTGTAGACTGTGATGCTTTACTGTGGAGCTAATTAGTCAAATTGCAGTAAAGCTCACATGTAGATGCACCCACTGCTACTGCCTCAATCCAATTTGGCTCCCTTTTCTATAGGTATAATGCCAGGGAGAATATGGAGGACCAGTGCAATTCAACTACTTGCACTAGAGTGCTGCCTAGCTTGTACCAGATAACAGGGAGCAGTCACCATGGCAGTGCTGGCAGCATACAGAAAGAACATGTTTGCCTGAGCTTGCTCCGGCTGGTTGAGGACAAGGCACCTTCATAAAACCAGGACAGATCCTCTCCTAGTGCCAATCAGCATCGTTCCATTGGAGCCCAGGGAGCTCTCACACCAGCACGAGGTCTGGCCCATTGTGCTTTAAGGAGAATGAAAGAATCTGAGCCTTGTGCCCCATTGAGGACATGAACTCCTTTCAGATCAGAAGCTGCGCCCATCTCCCATACTGCTTCACATCTTTGGGAGAAGGCACCACAACGCACCCTAGGCTAAATCTACACTGTGGTATGTAATGTCTCATCCTCACAAGAAGATAACCATTCACTTCTACCTGGTGACAACTGCCTCCAGCTCACTGAAGCTCCATGCTTCCCTCTCCCTGCCCGAACAAACATTTCCACACCCACAGCCTTCCCATCCATGAACTCATTGCAAAAAGATTGACAAGCAGTTTCCCTTGGTTCCCAGAATCACTCAACCCCATCTTGCATTTCCCAAATCACCCAGTTCTGCTCCTTGGGCAGCGCAGTCTAAACCAGAAGGCATAACAGGATCCGTCACCTTCTGAAGGAAACAAACCACCCCTCAAGCCCCACCTAGTTCTCCCATACAAAGACTCCAGGCCCCGTACCTTTTCTTTCTCTTCCCAGATCACAAGTGGAGGATGGTGGGCTTCTGAATTTGAACACAAGAACGTGCATCTGCCCTGCTCCCGTTGATGAGTCCTGATAAGAGGAAAGAGCACAGCGATGATTGGCTGGATCCAGCCACCTCTGTGACCTCACAGAAAATGCTGTGTCTGCTCATCTGAAATGCTCTCCCTCCCTAACACTGTTACAGAGCAGGGCTTTTATCTTTACAATATTAGAAAGTTTCCATCCTGAAGTGCTCACTGCAAAGCCCCTGTGGGGATGCTGAGATACTGATCCTCTGCACAGCACAACCACTGTCCCCATCCAGGGTATCCCAGAGCCTCTTAAAGGTACAAGTCCTTGCACACCATGTTGGAAAGTAAACAGCTCCTGCTGTCTTCACATGTAGCAGTTGTCCCCAGATGTCCTTTCAGGAGGAATTGAGAAGTCAGGAACAGCAGCGAACCTGTGGGTTTTTTCTGCCAAGTGACTGGGTTTCCAACACACTACACAGCATTTGTAGTCCACTGGCCACTGGAGACACCAGCAGAGTCCAGCCATACTCGATTCTCCCTTCAAGCCCCAGCTCTGGGAGCTGTGGGAGTGAGTAAAAGGATCAGTCATCCCTCAGCAGAACATGCAACTTGACACTGGGAGGCGTACGTGTGAGTTGATATCTTGACCCAGAAGGTACCAAAACAAAAGACACATCAGACTCACCCTTCTGGTGTGTTTACATCTCATGGCTTTCAACCCAGTCTGGCTGCTCTCAACAGGTGCAGGGTGCAGCCTTGACAGTCTGCATACATCATCTATCTGTACATGTCCCTATAAGAGTCTGTCTTCTCCATTTACGACTACCTCCCTTCCTTGCCCTCTAGCACTCCCTTCGAAGAGTTCTTCTCAGGTTTCCAAGTGCTACGGCCTCTGAAGCCTGATACAGCTCAGCACCCTCAACCACCAAAGCCCCTGAGCCCGTCTCCATCCACTACACCCATCTGTCCTGGTTTCTACTCCAGGCACTGGCCTATCCATCCTTTCAGTCCTGACTCTTCTCTTTTCATTTCACTCCCTCTAGCTCCCTTTATCTTCTTCCTTTTCTCTTTTAGACTCCTTTGCCCCCTGCACCCCTGCTCCCACACTACCTATCAGGCTTTCTTACATCTGCCAGGGGCTCAGTTTGCAATCACTGCAGTGGGGCTGCAGGGGATCAGCAGTTCCCACCAGCACAGCACGTGCCAGCCTCAGCCTGATTTCCCCTTCGTGAGACCTGTGCTGGGACAGGAGAATGCAAATAATGTGGAAAGAGAGCCTGAGAACTGGATACAAGGGGGTCTGATTCCATAATGCCACCAGGAAGCTGTGTGAGATCTCTGTTCAGGGGACAAGGGGACACAGGCACCCCTAGTGACAAGTCTGTGTGGGCTGGACCCTGCAGGGATCATGCTCCAGAAGTCCTGTAAATATTGGAGGGGGCCTGAACATTGAAGAGTGAGAAGTCCTACAGAAGGGCAATTTCTTCATGCTCCTTCTGAAGTGGTGGGCCTCCTGCTTTGGACAGACAAAGAGGGGATTGATATAGAGGCAGCCTGGGGTTGTATGGAGTTGGGGAGTATGTCTGAGCATGCACAAATTAGGGAAGAGAAGTACGAGTATGCCAGGTAAACACGATTCTGTAAAGCACCAGATGGACCAGCCCATTTTAGCACCCACTGGGGCAGTCTCTAATTCAGCTCTACATATAGCTACCGTACACATCCATCCATTTCCAACTGCAGTCCACCAGCTTCTCGTTTCATCTGTTTCATCTGCCCATCTCACCAGCTCTTTAAAGCGTTTACCTAACTATCTGACCAGTGCCACCTCTACTCCTATTCTCAGTGACTCACTCCATACCTGACCTGTAAACTAACCGTAACTAGCCACAGCTCACCACAGTAGGTTCATCATTTAATCCCTTGTCTAACCTGTTCTGAGGGCACTGATGCCTAGACGACAAGTGACAATGTGGTCTCCCAAGATCTATTGTTTGGGTCTCAGTTCACAGTGGACGAAAGGAGATCATGTGTAAAACAAGTCAGACCTAGAGACAGAGCAAGGAAGGAAACTGCATGCTAGTTAACATGGAAGAGGAACAAAGACAATGATACAGTGAAGATGACGTGTTTTGCACAGGGTTATAACGGTCAGCTGAAATGTCCCCTGCCCAATGACCACAAGGTCAGCGCAGGCTAATATAGATCTAACCAAATACATTGGCTGCTACTGCAGGTAATGAGCTGAACTAGGCCGCACACGTCCAGCTACCAGGTATGGCTCAACACAGGAGCTCCGGCCACAGCCCCTCAGTCATCATAAAGCACCTGCAGCATGATCCATCCTGGCGTCCATCCTACCTGTGGGGGTCCCTGCCCCTGGTCACCCTGGGTCGGGGCATTGTGACTCAGTGGTTAAAGCCATCTCCCAGGTGCCATTATGACATCAGAGCTTCTCTCAGCCAATCTCAGCCGCCCGCTCCTGGTCATTTGCATTCGGAGATCTCACTAGTCTCTCCCAGGGGAAATCAGGCAAAGGCACCACATGCTTTGCTGGTGAGCAGTGCAGGTTTGCAGGGCTGGGTACCTCAGGTGTTAAATGTTTTTGATGCTTGCAT